GAATTCCTTTCTAACTTCTGCCTGTGAATATCACTTTGATATTTTTAAATAGCTAATATTTATGGACTACTTAAAATATATTAGGGCTGGTGTTAAGTGACTCATTCTTTGCTATTTTGACTTTTTCCTTTTTGCTTGCTGAATAGTTACACTTTAACATTTCCTCAGAGAGACCCTGTATTTTCTGGAATTAACATGGTTATCTAATTGTGGTCAACAAATGTTACATTTTGTTCTGTTTCTACTGGTTAGAAGGTAAAGACAGGGGAAAAGGAGGAAGAAGAAACAGGAAAAAATTTTCCTGATCTATTTAAATACATTACACTCAGTCCTTAATTCTCTGTGAATCTTGGTGGTGGTTCTTCAGAAAGGGACATATTCACTAATTCCAAGAAGAAAAATCTAAGAGTATCTGTGACTCTATCCTAAGGCAGCAGATTTTCCTTTTGTTTCTTTTAGTTCAGTTTTTCTATTTCCAGTTAAAAACAAAATGTAACTGAAAGTTAGATTCTTTTGGAACAAATCAAAACACTGTTAAGAACAATAATAAGAGTTGTTTCAGGTGAGAAGGTTTAGTTAGGAGAGTTTATTTCCTGAATCATATTTTTTTATTGATTGTTTATTTACATATCTTGTCTTTCTGTTACAGTGTAAGCCCCAGAAAATCAGATAAATGTACCCTTCTTTTTTTTAATTTCCCAGAAACAATTGGGGAAATACCCTGCATACGTGAGTAAAACTGACGTATGTGTTGACTGTTATAAGGATTGAAAAGATTTAACTTGGATGAGTTTGTGGCTATTACTTATAACTTGAAAATAAACAACTTTTAAAGAAATGACTATTAAGTATATTTAAATTAATTTCCACAAATGATACTGGGTTCAGTTATAATTGTACTGTACTTGACAAATTACATTAAGTTCATGAATGATAGATCTATAGTGATTTATAGTGAAAAAAATCTGAGATATAAGGAACTTTTACCTTTTTTTTTTTTTTAACTTTGTCAGGGAAGCCAAAGGTGTTCCTCCACAAAATATAATTTGAGGCATCTCTCAGAGATAGACAGTGAGAAGAAAAGCAACAAGGTCTAATCCAAAATATCATTACCTCAGTTCTAATGAAGTGTCTTATTTATCAGATAAAAATGGATGAACGTGTAAAGTGAGTCAGAAGTAACAGCTTCCATTTGCTGAGCAACTGCTATGTGCTCAGTGCTTATTCTTTCCAGCCCCATTAAAAAACTCCTTGTATGCTGACTGAAGGAGGTAGATCTAAGCTCTAAGATCAAAACTCCCAACCTACAAATTCATTTCTTTACAAATACATTGAATCTATACATAATGGAATATTACTCAGCTACAAAGCAGGACGAATTTGAGACATTTGTAGCAAAATGGTTGCACCTGGAAAATATAGTGCTGAGTGAAATGAATCAGACACACACACTTAAACACACACACTTAAAATGGTATCACTCATCTGAGTAAGGCAAAGTACAAACAAAGAGCACAATAAAGGATGGATAGAAAGGGACAGGGGGATGGTTCTGTAAATAGGAAGGGGTCCAAGAGATAAAGGATTAGGAATGAGGGGAAGGGGAAAGGAGTAGCATAAAGATATGCCATGTATAGGAACTTAATAATCTCAATGGATGTGAGCATTATATGTCATGAGCATGAGTTAAGATTAATAATGTCACTGAGAATGAAAATGGGGTAAGAGGAATTAAATGGAGAGGGCAGGAGTGGGAATTAAAACAAGGGGAGGGAAGGAGAGGGGATTAAAAAAAGAAACAAGCCTGTAGTACGGTTAGAAACAGGGAAATTGAGGGAGCCGCTTCCTTCCCTTCATTGAACTATGAACACACCACCACCCTAAAGATTATCCCGGTTTAAACTCGGGAGGTGGTGACGCCTGAGGCAGCAGATCAGTCACACCAGTGAGAGACAAACGAGGGGGCACAGGGAGCCAGAGGGGTCTGACCACCATTGCAGGCCCTGGATTAGAGGCGTCTGACCCTTTAAATACAGGAAGCCAGGCAGGGGATTTAGCTCAGCGGTTCGGTGGCGTGCCTTGCAAGCACAAGGACCCGAGTTCGATCCCCGGTACAAAAATAAATAAATACATACATACATACATACGGGAAGCCTGAGTTGCGAAGGGTTACTCTTCCTCCTCCTTTCCCCGCTTTCCCTCTTCGGGACGCTGCTACCATTCTGTGATCTTCAATAATAAATGTAATTTCTGACTACTTACAGAGTTGTATGCTTGGCAATTCTCTCCTTCTCATGCACAAGAACCTAGGCTATTTTGGCCCGTTCAACTGTAGCACATGAACCCACTCCTCAAGATGACTATGAACTGCACGTATTGCAAACATGTACTAATAAAAAAAGCTGTGTTTTTAAAATGAGTATCATAATTTTATTCTTAGACAAAAGGAAATGTCATTCTAATTACAAAGAGTACATTAGCTAAATGAAGAGGCTTTTCCCCCAGACATCACTCCAAAGATATTTTGTTTCTGAGGTTTTTAAGCTTTTAGGTTTTCCTGAGGACGTCTTATATATCATGTTATTTTTGGCAAATGCAGCAGTTATAATCATTTGATCACGATTCTGCGGAAGTATTGGGTTTTAAAAGCAGCTGCAAAGGCTGGGGATTTAGCTCAGTGGTTCCGCTCCCTGCCTCGCGAGGATAAGGTCCCCTGTTCAAGCCCTGATACAAAAAAAAAAAAAAAGCAGCTGCAAAATTCCATTGTTTTCACCTCCACAAGGGGGCAGTGCTGTGCATCACTGACAGCTCTGTGTGGTTCCAGATTGAGGCTAAGAACAGATCCCACAGCTTTGCTTGTTGAAACACTATTTGTTTTCAAGCCTCAGAAACCAGAGTACCATCAGAAGCACACAGCATCAATGATTTTCAGACCTGTGGCTCAGCAAGGTTTTTAATAAATGTTTTTAAGCTAATGCTTCCTAGATGAATGTGCACTCCTGTGTTCACCCCACCCCAGCCAGGCCCAGGACCGACAGAGCTGACCTAATGTGAGACAGAAGAAGCCAGGACCATCTGTACCCTCCCTTGTCATGGGAGATTTCCCAAACAGTCCCTCCTTTCTTAGTGGTTTTGGTAAGAATATAATTCACCCTAATTTGGCCTGATGGCCCATCTTCTCAAACAGCCACTTTCCTCCTTAAAATAGGCAAAGCAGCTATGTTGATCCTACCAGAGAATACAATCAGTTATAACAAAAGCATGGTTGTAGGGATATTAGTCTATGAAAGACAGTGTATGCAAATTATATTTAAAACACAGAGATTCCTGGGCAGTTCACATCTGAGATGCTGTAGAAAAAGACGCTGAGCTGTGCATACAACTTGGCCCCCAGAGGTCCCCCAGGCCTCTGTACCCCTCTGCCTTGGTCTCCTCACCCTCAGATGAGGAGGGTACAGATGGTCTCCAGGGATCTAGCCTGACAGTCTGTCTCCCTCGCTTTTCTTCTCACTGTGGTTTATATAGTCATTGTGTAAATGTGTAAGAACTAAGCAACGAATTCTGCCTATTTGCTTTCGAACAAATGTCAGAGTTTTGAGTTTTGGGTATCAGAGATCTCTCTGCACTGGGTGAAGCTTCTGCTTTCATATTGCATTGACTTCCAAAGCAATATAGACTTGCAGTATATTATTCTGAACAAGGTACAGGAGACCTTCTAGAGGGCTTTACACAGAATACCTCCTGTACTTCAAGTATCTAAAATTGTACTTTTTAGGCTTAGGACTTAAATATTAAGTTACATAGCTTAGTTTGTAATGTTAATAAATTTCCCAGGAACCTGTTTCACATTATAGGGTGCTATGAAATCAGGCCAAAGTTGCTGTGAAACCACCAAACAGGATTTACACAGCTGATCTGATCTATTTATGGGTCTTAGACATTAGCATGCATGGCTGTGACTTGGTTGATCCTAACTAAACTGCCTGAACTGACAGTCAGAAAAACCTGGCTGGGCCAAGTCTGTAGTCTACGTGGACCTTTAACTTTGTGATGCCTGAATGAGAACGAACAGTTCAGAAATCGTGAAGACAGGTCATTCATCAAAATCAGTACTTATTAGGCCACTCTCTTCAGGCCAAACTTTGATAGTTTGATTATATCATTTAAAAGAGCTAATAAATACACTATCCACACCTTCTAGCAATCATAAATATTGTTTTAAGAATCTAATTTCAACACAAAGAAACTGTTTATGTAGGCCTTGTCCCCAAACACTGAAATAAAAGAATCAGCTCTCTGTCTATTCATTGGTAACCAACAGCAGAACTTCAGTGTTTTCAAGAGTCAGGTGTTTTTGTCCTTATTTTCCAGAGCCAAAGGAAAACTTCTGTTGTTGGAAGGAGCAATTTGCTGCTAGACTCTGCCCAAATCCCAGCACCCGCTTTCTCTGGTCTGGAGGCAGATGGTACATCGTAAAAATAAAAGCCATGGAAAAATGTACAGAAGCTATTCCCTTAAAAGCCCTATAGGAGGTTCTTTTTCCTAAAATCTAGTACTATAAATATACACATTTTGTGGTAGCATTTTAGCTCAGCATTGGGCGACTGAAATGAGGACAGTAATGTCTCCCTATCCTGAAACACGTCCGTGTGTGCCATATTCCCACAGGAAAACCAGCCCTTGGCTTGTAAGCACCAGGGCAGGACAGTTTAATTTGGACCAGCAGCCACTGTCCCCCGACTTCAGTACTAACCACCAACTGTGGGTTCTGTTAAGTTCTTTTGTGGTAATTCTCAGACACTGTGCAATGAGTATTCTTTTTATATTTGTAGCAGTTGTATAGATGAACAGGGCTACAATAAATTAGCCTCATAATAAGCTTTTGTGCAACCAATTTTTCCTGTAATTGCACTTGGTTAAATTTTAAAGCATGGCGCAGTCACAAAACAGTGTTATCATTTTAATATTTACTTCAAGTACACTTTGGAATGTAAACTTACCTTGTTTAGCTTGACAAAATATTCCAGTCCCGCTTCCAAGGGATTTGTGTCACAGTTCATCTAAAAGGAAAACACACATTTTAAATCTTAGATGAGTACTAATCATTTCAGTAACATCACTTTGGTGTATTAACTTTTTAGGAGAAAGGAACTTTGTGATATTTGAATACAGATGCTAAAAAAGGCAGATAATGGACTGCTCTCTAGAACAGTTTTTTTAATTAAAAATTCAAAGGTAGCCTTTCAGCAAATACTATCATTTGAATACAGCAAATACAGAAACTGAATCTCAGGATTTGTTTGCATAGTTCTTTTAATAAATATCTGAAGGAGACACACTGTGTTCCTTCCACACACAAGACTGTCCCAGATTTATGTAATAATTTTATATAATTAGGTTTTGAAAAAGTTTATAAGAAATTTATTTATCTTGCAATTAGCTGAGGGTCGGGATAAGGAGAGGGAGAATCAAATGGTAGGGAAATGTCATCTATGGAGTTCAGGGAAGGACCGGGAAAGAATATGGCTCTCGACCTTCTCAGACAGTGCTGAGCCACATACGTCACTTCAGGCATGGGTTGTTTCATTTTTCTCCTTTTTATAAGGGCTCTGTCTAAAAGAAGTCAAACTGCTTATCGATTTTTGTGGAGCTGGGGACTGAAACCAAAGCCTTGTGCGTAGCATACAAGTGTTCTACCACAGAGCAACATCCTCAGCTCATTTGTTAAATTTTTTATTTTGAGACAGGATCTTGAAAAGTAGACTAGGCTGGTCTTGAACTTGTGCCCCTACTGGCTCAGCCTGCCAAGTAGCTAGGATGTCAGGCATGTGCCATGACTCCTGACTTAAAAGGAGTCAACTTTAAAAGTCGGCACAGTACTTACATGAACCAAGTGAGCATAAGATTATTTCACATGATTACAGAATTTTCCCTCACATCTCTTAATTACTTTGAACCACTCAAAGTATTTTTTAACGGCTTAATTTCAGAATTTTTCAAGAAAAGCAGAGACGCATGATTGCTATCTGACCACTAGAGGGCGCGCTGGCATCGCTGGAAAAGCCGGGTGAGCCAAGAAGGCGAAGAGCTCGGGAGGAGGCGCAGAATGAACAAGGGGGAACCAGGATAAGAGCGGAGGGTGCGGAGCGAGAGAAGGGCTGCTTCTGCTGCTTCATTCCTGGGCCGATGGAGCAGATCTGGCCTGTGTTTCTCCTCAGGCAGCCAGCCCAGGCATCCAGCAAAAGAACATTAACAAGCCAAGCATTATAATCCGAGGCCTGTGGGAGGCTGAGGCAAGAAGATCACAAGTTTGATCTTGGCAGTTTAGCAATTTAGTGAGACCCTGACTCAAATTTTATTTTTTTTTGCTTTTTTGTTTTTTAAAGGACTGGAAAGGCCTTGGGTTCAAGCCCAATACTGGAAACAACAACAAAAACCAAACCCAAGGCACACTAATAGAGCACCTTTCCTGGGGAGATGCCTGAGGCTCTTTCCTCTTCCAGAGCGCAGCTCACTGTCTGCCCCCCTCAGAAGCCACCTGCTTGCCCTCAGTCTCAATCCTCAAGGGTTCCCATCTGGGCCTTCAAGTTAGATTTGAAGTTAGATTAATTAATTTTAAGCGCATTTGAAATTTTTGAAATTTTTCTTGGCCCTTTAAAGACTATCTGTAATGTAACCCTGTAGGATACCTATTCCTTCATATAGAAAAGCAGAGGCTCTGGGGGCTTAGGCCCTTTAGCCAGTATGTGGTAGAGGATAAATTCAGAGCCCAGAATCTCTGCTCTGAAGCTCGCCATCCCTTATCTCACATCAGTGCCTCTAAGGACAGAACCACAGATCTGCAAAGGTTGGGGATCTGGAGCAGCGATGGTGCCCCTTTTAGAGCTTCAGTGATCACCAACAGCCCACTGTGATACACATGCCATAGCTTCGCCACCACTGAGCTAGAGGAACTGCCACACTGCACGACAGAGTCTCAACTCAATTTGGCCCAGGGCTGTGTCATTTGAACCAAGGGGCTCGCTGATTCTCCACGCACTCTGTGTAAAGTAGGAGCCGTGGTAAAACTCCTTGGAGAGCTGAGAAGGCCAATAAAATCATGCCTAGGAAACTGTATGAACGGCTGAAACATGGCACAGGCGGACACTTTTAAAGTTTTTGTTAATGGGGGAGGAGACCTTGTCCCTCAGAAAGAGAGAAGTGATTTGCCACAAAGGACAAGATGAGGAGAAAATGAGGATGAGGGCACGAAGGGGGAGAACGTGAAGGTGGGGCTCGTGTCCCACGGGTGCCTGGTCCCCCACAGTCACACACAGAGCTCCCACCACCCTGGCAGGGGAATGGAGACAGAGTGAGCCTAATATCGGAATACCACTAACTTTCCACTGTTCCCCTGAAATAAAGGCGTCTAATGTATAATTGCTCTTTCAGCCAGAACCAGTGTTAAAAGGGAACCCTCACGCAAACATCGGAGGGAAACAGAAACTCTGAATGAAGGCTCCAGTATCCCAAACCTCGGCCCCCCAGGCGCGGAAAGCTTTCTCCAGTCTCAAGGCGTTCAGGGCGTAGGTTCCGAAATTGTCGATCCCCTCCTGCTGCCCCGCGTTCATGATGGCCTCGTAGAGGGCGGCCGTGTCTTCCAGCCTGTGGTACAGCTCCCAGCCCAGCTCACCTGAAAGAGACCCATGGGGCCACACAGAGTAAAGGTGGTGACCACCCGGTCAGTATGAGTGAGCTAAACCCAAACGAGAGGTGAGATTACGGGTCCCCAGTGGAGACATAATTGGTTTTTAAAGGACAAGCTCATGAAAACTGGCCCCAAGACGCCACCACAAGGAGCTGCTACACCGGAGTGCATCTGCGGGTCACCCTGACCCTGCATGCTGGGGCTACAAGATGTTCCTGTCCAGAGAGAGGCAGACAGAAGGGGATACAGGGCAAGCCCAGCCCACAGTGAGGGGTGACTGTGGGCCAATTCAGGATAACCAGTTAGGTGACTGACTGGGCTGGCATATTTTATACAGATAGATGTCCCAACTCCCAAGTGCCTGCCCAGGAATCACAAGGCATAAAATTCCAGTCAGCTGAGAATTACTCATCTGGTGTACACTGTATGAGAGCCATAACCGTGGACTCCCTCACATCCTTCCTTCCCTACTCAGTCACTTTCTTCAGCATTAGGGCTGGGGTGGGGGCTGGTGAGCAAGCAAAAGAGAAAAGAAACCCAAACTGTCCTGCTTAATTTTTATTCTGGTCATGATTTTCCCTCAGTTGAGTTCAAGAAGTTGGGAACATTCAGAGCAGGAATGCAGGGGAGAGGTGTAGCCTCCAGAGTTGTATACAGTATTCCCCCTGTCCCCATCATCAGGGGCCAACACCAGGACAGTACCAGTGGCCCAGCACCCAGCCAGAGTGACCATGCTTGGTTGGGCACAGTGCTTCCCTTCAGTGCAAGGGCCAGAGGTGAGGGAGGCAGAAGTCAGCCCAGAGCATGATGGGGAACAGAAGAGCACTCTGTGTCAGATGCCCACCGCGGGCAAGGCTAGTGCAAGGCAGAAGTGGGGAGAAGAAAGACACCCCACTGGCAATGCCGAAGAGAAAGCAGCAGAAAGTAACACATTCAAGGTGGCCTCTAAGAGAGAACCTCGCTCCTGACAGGGCCACTGGCCTGGACTTTCTCACTCTCCTGACAGTCATCCTTTAGCTGCTTTCTTTTGGTACTGTTTCAAATGGAAGCAACAAATGGAAACCTTTGGAAACACACACGAGCCTAAGAGTAAGTAGGCAAACTCCTCTTAGAGCTGAGCCAAAGAAATCTTCCTGCCAACTCACACAGACACACAGGGAGTGTGCATGCATGTGTGTGTGTGTTTGTGTGTGTGTGTGTGTATGTGCACACCTATTTCTCCTGGCTTCTCCTTGTAAAATGAGAGCTTTACACTGGGCTGTCTCGAGGCTCTTACCAGTGTACGATATCCTAATAGCAGTGACAGGAATGCCGGAAACCTTGAAGGACTTGGTTTGCAGAAACTTGAAAGCACTTTCACTGAGGTCTTCAGAGGTCAGCTTCTGAAGGACCCTCCTCGCGTGTGGCCCGGCAATGCCAAGGACGCCCAGCTCATCAGTTATGTTTCTAATCTCAACGTTGTAGTCACCTTTGCCGGCTACCTCCTCGATCCATCTGCATTTGAGTCATAAACATCACGTCGAATATTGTTGGGCTACTGCTGTCCTATTTCCCTAAAGGCAGGTTTGGTGTCTGGAATTACTGGAAAGTCCCCAGAGGACCACTGTATACAATCACATGATTTTGAAACAGTACGGAAGGATCCTTCGATTTAAACAAGCTCTGCCACATGATTTTTTTTAAAAAAAAAAATAGTGATAGCTCTATTGCATTTAAAGTAATGATTTGGTCTTCAAAAATTAACTGAAATCTAAATTTGCTCTAATGCTTATATGCAGGGGGCACACTTGTGTCACTGAAGGTTGATACACACCTTGCTGCCAAACACAGAATTGCTCTGATGATCACAAGGAAAAGATAAAAACCTCCAGTTTCAGTTTCTAAGCCCTGACGAGTTATGGGAGCCCATAATGTACATCATTTCATAACCTCTGCGAGCCCTGACCGAGTGAGCGTGTGTTAGGTAACCGTGTTCTAAGTGCTTTTGGAGCATCAAAGACTGCAGACTTCCTAATAGAAAAAGGTCCACAAAGAGGCCCAATTTGGCAGGGCTGAGGTTTAGCTGGAGGCCGGGCAGCACAGAGAGGGGCGCTGAGGGGCAACAAATCAAGGGGTGAGAAGGCGGTCTGGCTTGAGGGGCTTCCACCACACCACCGCTTCCTCATCTGAAAGTGAGCGTGACGTGTACTTTGCAAAGTATGAGGAGAATTGGTTAGTGCCCAGAACGAGTTCCAGCATACCGGCCATGTCTCATAAATGGGATTGAACATCATTAGAACCAGAAAACCCAATGCATGGGGCATTGGGAGCGGGGCAGGGCCTTCAGATGTTTCCCATAAAAAGGACAAAGTTAAAGGAAGAATTAAAGTTGTACTTCAAGTACTGTAAAAGGAAAACTCGGGCCGGGGATTTAGCTCAGTGGTGCTGCTGCCACCTGCCTCACAAATGCAAGGACTTGAGTTCAATCCCTGGTACCAAAAAAGGAAAATTCAGTGTAAGGTTGAGTTGATATGTGAGCTGTATAAAATGTTCTCTTTTTTAACTTTTTTTTTTTTAGACAGCCTGGGCTAAATTGCCCAGGTTGGGCTTAAATTTGGGATCTTCCTGCCTCAGCCTCCTACAGTGCTGAACTACAGGTGTGCACCACCACACTTGACATACAGGACATTCTTACTAGCTTGTGCTTACCTAAGATCATGAAGTTCGGATCCAGAACCAGTTATTAACAGAAACTCGCCAGGGGATTGGTGAGAAACAGTCAGTTCGGCGTACACACGACCTTTGGGCGTCAACATGTGGCTTATATTTGTAAAACCCACCTATACCAAATAATTCAAATGGACTTAGGATGAATTACACATTCCTTTAACACATATATAAATAAAAATATGGGTGTTAACAAGGAAATGCCTCTTGCTCTTATCATCTATATCAATTGTATGAACTGTGTAAGCCCAAGATTTAGCAGTCTTGTCTTAAATAATCATTCCAAGCTATCATAAAAACTATCCTTTTGGGGCTGGAGATTTAGCTCAGTGGTACCATTCCTGCCTTACAAGCGCAAGGTCCTGAGTTTGAGCCTCAGTACCAAAACCAAAAACTATACTTTTGATTTCAGTCAATTTAAAAAATGTATTTATTTATTTATGAGGCAGGGTCTCATTCTGTAGTTCAGGCTGGCCTTGAACTTACTATATACTTAGGCTGCCTTCAAACTCTAGGAGATTCTCCTGCCTCAGCCTCCCAAATACTGGGAGTACGCCACCATGTCTGGCCCCCTAGTTGTCAGTCAGTTTTAAATTTCCACTGACATAATTAAGCAAAGTCATTAAGTCCTTGGATGATACAGTAAATCATTCACAAAAACTTAAATTTGAAAAGTAGCTTATATTCTCTCCATTGAAGAGTTCTGGTGTTCACACAGACATCAGTGCATGAACTAAAATAACATACCGGATTTTGACTTTAAAAAAAAAAATTAGAGGATGGAGAGTCAAAGGGGCGAGAATCCTGGACCTTGGCTGTTTACCTTTGGGATGACATTGGCCAGGAGATGATCCAGCAGCCTCACAGAGTCCTGGCCTTTGATGTGGAACTTGCCAAACGGGGTCAGGTCGATCACTCCCACGCTTTGCATAACTTGTTTATACTCACAGCCCACCGGCTCAAACCAGTTTGTGCGGTGAAAACTTGGCCTGAAACAGTGTTCGGTGTTATAAAACACTTTTGATCACTGCCCAGTAGTGCAGAATGAGGATATTTTAATAAACTTTACCTGTCTAGAAAATCTTATATTGGGGGAAAAGAGATGCAACCTTAAATGTCTGCAAATCATATATCTATATGTTGGACTCTGCCTTTTGAAGTAACTCACGTGGCAAGTTTCATAGCAAATGAAGTATCAGTTAACTGGAATGTAAGACAGAATGTGTGGGTTCCCAGGCTGGGAGGTGAGTACCTGTCACCAGCCCAGGGCTTCCCACCCTGCTAGTGTATTAAATTCACCTGGGGAGCATTTTTCGAAAACCAACGCCTGGGCTTAATTAAGTCAGAATATTGGAGGGCAGAGGGAGCTAGTTAGTCCAGGGTTTCTCAAGCACTAATGCAAATGCAAATCAACTGAACTTGTTAAGAAACTAGATGCTGTACACTGGGACAGAGCTCTGTAGTTTACAGTACAAAAGGCTGTCAGTCTATGTGGTCCAACATCTTTTTTAGGGAGGGTACTGTGAACTGAACTTAGGAGCTTCTCAGAGGTACATCTCCAATCCTTTTTTGTTTTCTACTTTGAGACAAGGTCTCTCTAATTTGCTAAGTTGCCTAGGCTGGCCTTAAACTTGAGATCCTCCTTAGTGGCACAGTTTGTAATAGCTAAAATTTGGAAACAGCCCAATTGCCCATCAATTGGAGACTGGATAAAGAAGATGTGGTTTTCTACAAAATGGAGTACTACTCAGCCATAAAGAATGAGAAACTAGAGACATTTATAGCCAAGTGGATGCACACTGAGGCCATACTCTTAAGTGAAATAAATAGGACACACGAGTAAATATCAAACAGTTTCTATGGTGTGAAAAACAAGAAGTGGAGTAAGGTTCAAATGGTACAACTGGGAGTGTGAAATAGGAAGAAAGGTGTAAAGGTGAAGCCAAAGTGGGAAGGATAGGGGAAAGGAAATAAGGGAAAAGAAAAAATATGAAAAAAGGAAAAAATGGAAACAAAGTCTTTGTAAATAGGGAAGGGTGAACAGGGTGAAGGGAGGGGAGGGGAATGGGGAAAAAATAAGAACTAAGACACATCATGTAAAGGTACAAGATCTCAATGATGAATGTAACCATATTGTTTACCTTAAATGTACCAAAAAACTTAATGAGGAAATAAAAACCCTTGAGAACCTCCTGCCTCAGCCTCTCAGAGTGGTGGGATCACAAGTGCATCCCACCAAATCTAGACATGTTTTCAAAGAAAAGGTAAAACAAGACTTCCAAGACTTCTGCATTAGTTAATGATAGAGCTGGGTCTAGAACAAAGGTCTTCTGGCACATTGCAAAAGGTCCTTTTGACTTCACAAAGCAGGCTTCTAACTTCAGAGCAGGATGCTAGGTTGGCAAAATGAGTTCTCAGCAGCTTAATTATTAAAATGGTAGAAGAACTTCAGGCCAGATCCGAAAAGCACAAAGTGAAGAATTGAGCTGGCATTTATTTGAGTCATTTAGAAAAACAAAACAAAACAGTATTTGGCCACCAAGTAACCAAGAGTGGCTCGCTGTAAGGTCCAAATGTGTTCATCTGCAGCTGATTGCTCAATATTCTTCATATCACTTAGGTCTGATCTTCAAGTAGACATTAAAACTATTTACAGAAGCGAACTGGCAGCTCAAAAATAAAGGTAACAACTTTTAGATTTCTACTTGTTTTCCCTTGCTTTATGGATTCTTATGAGAAAAAGCATATAATCACAAGAGATCTCAAGTACAGCGTGACACGTGGGGCTCTACAGGGCTTCACAGCACTGTTCTGACGGCTGCCTTATTCCGTCCCTTCGCTTAACTTGAAATGCTAAGCTACAGATCTTCTCCCCTAATTTATTGACACGCGCATGATTTGCACAGCCTCGTGTGAGCATGCCTGCACACAGGCACACACCACACAAGCTAGCAGGCAGACACTTGGAGCTTGTGAACAGAAAACCAAACTGCAGGTCGCTTTCCTTCTGAGGTTTTATGCTCTGTGACTGCACCAAGATCCTGAAGGGCAAAAGGCAGCTGAGGTCCTGGGGCAGGAGGAATCTGGCGGGTTGAGGACAGTTCCTCTGATTTTCTGGGTGCTGCTCCTAGAGCTCTCGGGGCACATGGGTCCCAGATGTGGGCCACTGCCCTGCGGGCAGTCGCTGGCCTCCACCGCAGAAAGCAGTTTTCCTAAGAACAGATGGGTTGGGTGGGAGGGGACTCAGCCAGCACCTGCAGCTGAGCAGCTCACACACCTGTACTGAGTGTCCTGGCCGGGTCTGTAGAACCAGTTTGGCTGCTCCCAGCCCGCGTGGAACCCCATGGAGCACTTGGGTGCCAGGGTCCGGTAGAGCCCGCTGACTCGCTGCGTGGGCCGCCCTGCTGCGCGCTCTTCCTTAGGGAAGCCAACTGAAAAGAAGAGTCGGCACTTGGAAAGATGAAGCACTTCGAAGGGTCTTAGAACCTACAGGACTTCAAAGCGAGGGATAAAGTACAAAGTTATTTAAAAATTAAAATAATTAAGGAAAATCATGATACTGTTAGGGTCCCTGACCACAATAAAGAGCATCTAGAGGTGCTGAAGACACTTTGTATAACTGCAAATCTGTGCTTCACCAATGTTGTTGAATCCGTACGATTCTCTGGCTTTGGCCTCGGTGTACTGAGCTGTGGCCCATTTGCCATAGCGGTTGGGATCCAGTTCTATCAGGTCAAAAGGAGGCTCTCCCTGCAGGATCCAGTCGCTGAGGTACTTCCCTGCCCCACCAGCGTGGATGATGCCGTACCTTTCAAACACAGAGACAGACACCCCATCACCATCACATGTCGTTTTTAAGTGGAAACACATGTCCGTATACTGTACAGGGCCTCAAAGTTGGAGTGTTCTGTGCTGTTCAGGACATAAAGAAACATAATCTTTATGCTACCTATTTTTCTCTTTAAAATGGACACTTAGGCATCCAAATTAAACATGCCTGTTTTGACAGCTGGTTTGTTTCCACACCTTTATCTCCTAACTACAGGGGAGGAAGAAGAGGACTGCGTTAGTGTGACTGGCACTTCACAGGCCCTCCTGAGCTGTGATCATCCTGAGGGACAGGAGACTGGAAGGGAGACCGTGTGTCCCTCAGACTCAGCTCAGCTCAGCTCAGACCTGCTTGGCAGGGGCCTCTTTGCAAGGAACCAGGGCTGGCATCTTGGAAGCATTCAGCCCCCGCACATCCACCTGGGACCTGCAGGGAAGTGGAAAGGATCTCTGGCCCCTGTATTTTGCAACTAATTCCCACTTGTTGGGAAAGATTGGCTTGCTTTCTACTCCATAAGAAGATGGTTGAAAAGCAAGAATGCGATGGTGTTTTTGCTATCAGAGTGAGAGATCACATGCATGTGGTCATGTGCAGTTATATGCACTCACTCTTGTCTCACGAAGGCCTTCACTGCAAGTTTATTTGCAGTTAAATCAAGAGAAGCTTCTGAACAATCGAATGGGCCGGAGACATGGGGAGAAAACCAAGGAAAGGGGCTGCCCCGGCAGGGACTGAAATGCAAGATTTAGGCCCCTAAAGTACAGCGACTCAGCTACCAAAAGCACAGGTTCTGAGGGTGTGGGTGGCATCCAGCAGGCTACAAATGCTAACTAGCTCTCCTCACAGCAAGATGCCAGTTTTGCTATTTTAGAAAAGCGAATGCCTAAATTGTTAGAAGGAAGTTTCTCAAGGGGAATAAGAGGCAGCAACTGACCATTTACCTTCCTCCAGCATTGTAGTACTAGGCCTGACAGAGCTGGCAATCTTTAAATGTGTTAAATGTTCATGGGAGTAAGTGGCCAGATAAAATGGGGAAGAAAAATAGAATATTAGAAGCTGTCATATGATGGTAAAGTGGGTTTGACATTGATACTCACCAAATTAATGTGACAAATATTAGAAATAAAACTTCAAAGAGGCAATGGAATCATAAATAGGAAGCAATGCAAGGAATTACAGAGAAACACATCATGTTAGGCAAACACAAATTATGGTGAAAAAATGCATCTGATACATTATTTGTTTGATATTTTGAATTATCTTTGTCACATTGTGTTATGAAAACATCCTTGTAAAATGGGGGCAGACGGACCTACCAGAAGCTAACAGCATGAAAAGAGACACGAATAATGGAAATGGCAGGAAGTAGATGAGGAAAAGTCCAGGAGATGATTGTCTTTCTGGATGCTAATCTTTGAAACCTATATAGGTCATTAAACCATTATGTAATCAGTATTTTAACCCTGAAATTTTTAATTTCTCATATTATTCCTTGGTCATAAAAGAGAATATTCTCTCTGTCTCTCTCACCTGTGTTTTCCTTTTGTGACCTCAAATTATGGGACCACGCTTAGCCAAAAAAATGATTTTATGATCATTGCTGGATTCGTAGAGATACTCACCCAAAGCCTACAGCCACCCAGTAGTTTCTGATCCCCTGGTGTGGGCCAACCATGGGCAGAATGTCAGGGGAGTACGTGATAGGACCGTTGACAACGTTGATGATGTCAGCCGTTTTCAAGACTGGAACCATCTCCATGGCTGCTTCCACATGTTTCATGATTCGGTCTAGGTCAGACTCAAAGAGCTCCTTTCCAAAGCCTGGAAAGATACACCACCACGGTCAGCATTGCCCTTGTACACAGACAAGCGCTCTGAAGCGATCCAAGTTTAAATTCAACATTCACTGTCCACAGGGGGGCACCCAATATGTGACAGAGAATAATAATGCTATGTTCTGGGAAAAATCCCTTTAAAAATTTATAGACATGCAAATGTATATGTATTAAATGTCTACTACTTAATCCAATCTTATTTTTTAAAAAAATACAAACAACAATAATTTGGCTTGTCAGGAGAGATCTTTACTCTTCAGTTAACCTTCAGAGCCTGTTTCATCCCCACCTGCTGCTGGGTGAGGGCAGACACAAGGGAACAGGGTCACGCCAGACCTTGGGGGAAGTGGGTGCCACCCCAGAATCTGAGGGGATGGAGGCCAAGCACTGTTTGCCCTCCCCTTACAGGAGGCTTCCTCCTCCAGCCTGCTCCCACACCTTGCAGAACAGTGCCCCTCTGTCCCGAAGCCCCAGTTCAAAGCAGGGTCACAGATGCACTAAGTCTGCCCATCCTGGTGACTCCCACAGCTCCTCCTGGAGACCACATGTTCAGGTGGCTGCAGGCAGCTGCATGAAGGCTTAAGGCCACCAGTGGTGGCTTAGGATGCGTGGCACCACCCTTGTGGTGGGTTAGGATGTGTGCACGGGGCAGGACAACCCAGCTCTGCCTCCAACTGGCAGGATTTCAATATTTCTTAACTTTTTTTTCTTTGAGGAGGTGCTGTGGCCACAGGGAAGAGTGGGGAGGGAGAGGGTTGTTCCGGGTGTGTAGGAGCTCAGCCCTCCCTCTGAGCAGGAGCGAGTCTACTCAGCCAGGATTAGCACAGCACACCCAGTAAAACCAAAACCCTGCAGCCAGCTGTCCTACCTCTGAGACAGCAGCTTAGGGATCAACTCCCACTGCTCTGCCTGCTGTCTGTTGGAGGGAGGGATTTTTCCTTTACTCAAGTTGCTTATCAAGGCATAATTCTAAGTTTGTGCATACAATTCCAGCACTCTGGGAGGCTAAGACCAGAGGATCCCAAGTGCAAACCCAGCCGTGGCAATCTAGTGAGAAACTGTCTCAAATTGTTTTTAAAAAAGAGCTAGAGGGCCGGGGATTTAGCTCAGTGGTTCCAGCATCTGCCTCACAAGCACAAGGACCTGAGTTCGATCCCTGGTACCAAAAATAAATAAATAAATAGATAGAGCTAGAGATGTTGCACAGTAGCAAGGCCCCAGGTTCACTCTCTGGTCACACACACACACACACACACACACACACACACACACACACACACCTGTCATGTTTCAGTACCCCAGTGACATTTTACCTCCCTTTATAGAATAAAACCGAGGCAACCCAAATCTTAATCTGGCTCTGCAGAAATATTTCATGAGGGAGGAAAGGACCTATCTCCCTCACAGAACTTGAAGGACTCCATAGCACATAGCATCCCCATGCAGCTCAGAGACAGAGCCTGTCCCGTCCCTGTAAGACAGGGAGGCCTCAGGTGGTCCCAACTTGCCCACTCTGCTAGGCTTCTCTGGCCTTTCTTCGCAGAGTGTGGTGTCCTGCCTCTGACACCTGCCCTGGGTACCTGTGGAAACCTCAGAACTGCTCTACCCAAATCCTGAAGCTACTCTAAGCAGGCAGCAGGCAGAGGGCAAGGTGGGAGGCTAGAGGTTGGCAGGGTCAGTGATGTAACTTTCCCAGCAGCTCTGACAAGAATGCACCTTTTCTCTTTGCTCACTCCATGCCACATGCTCAAAAGTGGAGGAAGACAATCACCCCAGGAATAGTCACCCCAGGGACAGGTACCCCAGGGGTTCAGGCACCTACTCATACAAGAGGACACTCTTCTCTTACTCTGTGGTTGGCCCACCCTGAACACTTTGTGTCTGGCCTGCAGGACCCACCTGGGGGGACCCCTCCAGTGACCCAGGAGTCCTGGACCTTCATCTTCTCTTGACTCTCGTAGGGTCCAAATAGAAGCCCATCCCGCTCCTGCCGGAGGTAATAGGACCCTTCCAGGTCCCGGAGCACAGGGAGTTCTCGCTTCAGAGCTTGCACTTCCGGGATGGTGGAGGTAACCACGTACTGATGTTGGACTGGGATGAGAGGATGTTCCAGGCCAATCATTTTACCTACTTCACGTGCCCAGAACCCTAAGGAAAAAATTATTTAAAATTGGATCACATATATAAACATAGTACATATGAATCTGATAGGACAATTATATCCAAATTATTTAGGAGGCTTGAGTTCTCGTGTCGAAGTCAAAACACTGTCATCATAATCTAAAATTTTGCCATTGCAGATCTGCTCCTACACCTCCGAAGTTCTTTGTCTCCAAATGTATGACACCTGGAATTCCAAAGCTACAAGTTTGTTCTGCTTATTTAAAATTTGAAAATGTGCACACTTTGGAAGACATGGCACATTAAGTTTTATCTATTATTTTGAGTTTTGTAAGACCATTTACTGTAAGGATCAGAGAAGCACTGGCACTTTTCCCAGGGAGGGGTGGGGTGTAGTTCAATGCCAGTATGAGGCCCTGGAACTGATCTTCAGCACCAAGTGACTGTCATTTAATTGGGGTGTCTGCTTCCTGACCATGGCAGGATTGTCTGTGGAAGGAGCTCTGTTTATTTGTTTGTTTGATTGATAATTTTGAGTCATCTTTCAAATTATTAGAAAATCTTATTTTAGTCATTGCTTTAGATTAATTTTTAACTGTTTCTGCTTTTGAAAAATCTGATAGTAAGTTCTGAAGTCACACAAAATTACCCATGATGAGTCAACCTGGGCAATGAGATTATGCTTGTTTAGGGGCCCAAGTTTGCTTCCATTTAACCATCCATCACCCTTGTGTTGTGTTGCTTTGCTTTGGCCTAATGGCTACCTTGGTCACACTTGTATAATAACCCCAGAAATGGGTTCCCATTTGTGAACCAGAAATCCTACCTGTGGGCAGCGAAGCTATTTGTTGGTCTTTAGAAATTTAAAGACTTAATGTATTCTTGCTAGTAGGAAAATATGAATTATCAATCTCAAGACTTTGTAGGAAAATATAACAAAGCCACAGTTATATACACTAGAACACTTTCAAAAATATAAATGTTCAAAATATTTATCCTAGCAATTCAATCTACTGCAATAGCCTTGATCTACTTCTTTTGACTAGGAATAAAATTAATTCTGTCATATTCAAACATATTTATGGATAACTGAGTCCAATTCCTTATTTATCAATATACTTCATCCTAAAATAAAATGGAAATGTGTGCATAAGTGTCGGGTAACTATATTACCTTAAATCCCATAGCAAGCTCCACCCTGTTTTGCCCTCTGGAAGTGGTACCTGTTGGTGTTCTTTTCCTCTATAGGTTAATCAAATTAGCCCAAACCTAGCCAAGATTATACTTCAATCCCTCAACTTCCAAGGAAAGTCAAGTATAGAGGAATCACTCTAAAATCTACCACTGCCACCTCAAAAGCAACTGAACAGCCAATACAAATGGCCTCCATTTTTTTTAACAATGAGGTGATTAATAGAAAGGATATTAAAATAAAGGGTGAAGATTCATGAACAAGTTCGCTTCTATAAGGTGGTTCATACAATGGCAATGATGATCTCATTCTTTGACCCACAGTAACAGGCAAAATGAACACTGGGCTTCATGTTAGAATGTTTCAGTCACATTTCTGATTTGCTGTATTAGAGAAATCTTAAATAAATTTTACAACATCATCTCAGGCTCCATAGGTCAACTGGAAATTAGGTCAAGAGAAACACCGTCATCACGCAGGGCGGCTTGCCTCAGAATAAATAGTATTTGATCACATCCTGAGGGGAAGGGAAGATTAAAAACAGAAGTGCCTATTTTGAAAGCTAAGGAACTGGTAAGCTCAGGCAACAACTATTGCTCACCAAAAGGTTGAGGGCACCCAAAGCCTCCTCAGCTGCTTGCCTGTCCAGTTGTGGTTTTCAAGACATATACCAGCAGTAAAGTTAAAATATCACTTCTGAGCCCAATCCAGACCACCTCAACTGTAATGCTTTAGAATCGTCAGAAATATAGGCATACATGCTCGGTAACCAAATTCTTGGAGAGTTCATTTATTAGGAGGATGGGTGTTAGATGACTGTAGGACAAGAGAAGAGAAATCCTAAGGTGGATGCCAAGAAGCTATGATATGCTGATATTCATATCTCCAGACTAGGGCAACCATTCTCAAGGAAATGGTTGGGATAATAACAATTATTATTACTATTTACCTAATTTTTTAGTGTTTTCTATGTGGCAAGCCCTGTTCCATCTACTTTAAATTATTATTAACAGCTTTTGAGATGGGCACTCTTACCCTAGTTTATAAACGAGCAACTTGCCTGAGGTCCAGGGTTGTAATGTGTGGGTCCTGGGGGTCAGGAAGCCCCACTGCCCTGGATGAGGCCAGAAACACAGCAGCAAAACCACACATTTTTACTCATAGTCTGTCCTGTTTCTGGATATCCTAAAGACTCCACAAGCTTTAAATCTTTCACTTTTCAATTGTGTTTCTGAGTCCATATCCTGGTAACTTTAATTAGATCTCAGAGCTGTCCTGAATACCCTGCCTGTATTTGGGAGACATAGTGGTCTCTGAATGATTCTGAGAAATATTCCAGCTCAAGCATTTAACATGACGGTCACTTTAAATCAGACATCGATCTTTGTCAGCTTCACTTATAGAAGCGGCTTAGAAAAATCCTCACCCCGCCACCACCACTTAGGCTGACCCTTTGGGGAGTCTTTACCCTTTAAATCAGTTTTTAAAAATACACTAACAAAAATACATGCACACACACAAATACACACCACACATACATATGTGTACACACACACACACACACACATCCTTCTCTTCTGTGAATTAATATATAGTTAGTTTGATTTTTTCCCTCAGTAATTTTGCCCAGTAGAAAAGAAGTAATGAAGGGAAAAACTTTTTTAAAGGATTCTGGGCAGAGACCTGATCTGAATGTGATACAATTGAGAACTGACACAGGAGTTCATGTCACTTCGAGCAGCAAGCTGCCTGGAATTCCCAAGGAAAGAAATGGATGTGAGAGTGCAGAGTCCAGGGGCAAAGATCCAGGGGCTGTCATGCCCCCATGAAGGCCGCTGCTGCCCTCATTCTGGGAGCCTGTGCCCCAGGCCAGCCTGGGACAGCCATTCTCAGGGGCTTCCTGTCACAGCCCCATCTCCACCCCAGGGCCCACAGCCACACAGAAAGCTCCACCTGAGAGTCAACTCCTGAGGTGGCATCAGAGTTCTTTGGAAATCATCCCATCTTCCCCCTCAGAGATTCCTCTTTCCTTACAATATGTGGTTTAGGGAAAAAAAAAAATTACTACAATAGCAATTTCCTATGTAAACAAATGCTTATCTATTTTAGAAAAACAACAGTTAACTAAAATATTCCGGGCCATTTCTTCAAATATCCTTTGGAAAAATGCATGATTTCCTGAAGTACTGCATGAAGAAAATCGTGGGACTTTGTCCAAGCCCACCTGAAACAAGTGCAGTCATCACTTAGCAATGTCTGCCCTCCCTGCTGCTGAATCAGGAGGTCCCACTATGTCTGCTTGGCATTTGGTCTCTTGATGAGCACAGTCAAATATTTTTAGGGGCTGAATTCATGAAACCATGAAAGAAAACAGCAAACTTTCAAAGAATCCTTACTGCTTGGAAAAAAGTATAAATGACTTTAATGTCCTGGAGCTTCCAAAATTTATGCTAAGATTCCCAAGGAAAGTGAAAGAGAGGATGATCGGATGGCAGCTGAAGGACCAAGGAAAGTTCAAAATAAAACAATTTTTATACCCCTATTTTTACTTTTTCAAGCAAGTCACCAATATTATTTTAAAGTTCAAGTTCTATTAAAGAAAGTACTGTATGAGATTTTTAAGCTTTTTGTGTGGGAAGCATTGGTTAGAAAGATTCAGAAATGCTAATTGAGACTCTCAAATATTAAGCCATGACTTTTTCTAGGGCCACTAAAAATATTTTGTAAAAAAAGATAGCATCTAGCTGGGCATCGTGGCACACACCTGTAATCCTAGCACTCAGGAAGCTAAGGCAGGAGGATTGCTGTGAGTTTGAGGCCAACCTGGGCTCCATAATGAGTTAAATGCCACTACATAGCAAGACCTTGTCTCAAAAAATATAATATAACAAAACGTTATCTATCAGAAAAAATGATTTAGAGGAAAGAATCAGAAAGATATATGTTCCTGGCATGTCTTCACACTATTTGATCTGATAAATAATAAAGATCTATTTTTACTTTATAATTTAAACAACAGCTCAGAAAAAATCAGTTACTGCCTCATGCTTATTTTGGGTTCTAATGAACCACTGTGAACAATAGGAAAATATAAATTATCAGCCCAGTTTAGAGAGAAACAATCATTTTCAACAGGATCTGCTCATGTTTGTATGATGATAAAAAGGTCTTTGCATATAGCTGACCTACTAGAAATAGAAAGTGTATCAGTTCAAGAATCAAAGGACCAGGTCCCAGTCCTGGCAGTGATGGAACTGGCTGTTCCTTGGCCAAGTCCCAGGACCCAGCTGAACCTTGCCCTGAACAAGTGAAAAATGATCAGGTTGTCAGATTGTCTTAGGTAACTGTCGGGGCTTTACTGCTCTGTGTGTCTGAACACAGCCTGAAGATTACAGAATGTGTGTAATAACATTCTGAAAGGAGAAATGTTACAGTTTTTGGCTAGAGTCAAAAGTAATCAGAAATAGATGAGAGAGAACAGAAATAGTCAAATGTGTCCTTCAAAGCTAATTGAGAACAAAGACAGTGCTCAGAAATTTGAACAGTAAAGTTTAGCTGTTAGCATAAATGGTGAACAAACAAAAGGGGGAAAAGCCTGGTTTGACAAATCTGGAATAGAAGAAAATAGGATAACCAAGGACAGAGTACCCTCGCACACCAAGGGCACAGTGACAGAGGGAGAGCTTAGTAGCTTAGAAACAGATTTGAGAGCAGCACAGAGCTTTACAACAATATTCATAAAGTAAAACGTTACTTTATGGCTAAACATTTCTTTGCTACATTCATAAAACACTAGTTTTTTCTTAAGATATGATGCTCACCTGCAGCATTCACAATTCTGTTTGCTTGCATAGATCCTTGTGGCGTTTCAACATCCCATGTTCCATCTGACCTGGGTTTCAGAGAAGTTACAGGTGCGGGATATTTTAAAAGGGCCCCATATTTCCTAGCCCCAGCAGCCAAGGCCATCGTAAGAGAATAAGGATCAATGTGACCATCTCCAGGGTTATACAGTCCAGCTAAAATCTAAATCAATCATATGAGAGTTAATATTCAAACAAATATATACTTATTACGTGGCATAAATATATATGGCCAGCAAATATTTGAAGAGTTGGGCTTTCAAAGTGCACCTTTCAAAGCTTGATCAGGCTGTACATCTTAGTTTTTCTAAGTCCTGCTCAGACCTGAGTAGGATTTGCACCAGCGTTAAGTAGATAGTCTAATTAAGAGAAGCTTGCAATTGTTTCCAAAATCCCTTTCCTTTTCCCTGTGGTAATGGAACTCCAAAATTTATTTGGACACATGGCCACTAAGAACAAAGAGTACAGTTTCCAACCTGCCTGGAAGCTATTACTTCCAGCTGGTACCTAAAACTACTACTAAAGTTCTGGTTAACAGAAATGCAGATAAAATACCATATGTCAGCTCCCACAAACCATTTTTAAAAGACAGCGGGCGTGTGCCTCTCTGCTTTGTTCCTTCCTCCATCCTGCTATCTCCAATGCAGACAAGAGGGCTGGAGCTTGCACTGCCATCTCCAAATTATATTACTATTGTGTCACAAAAGTCACCCACCAGGAGTGACAGAGCAATGGTCTGGAAGGTGACTGGCTCCCTGAAGTCTTTATGAAGAAGAGTCACCATTTGAGACACAGACTGCTTAAATGAAAGGGGAAAAAGCTTGCATTTTATTTAAACATTATTATTTTGGTTTCTGACATTTAAAACCAAATCTAACCCTAACTACAATAGCAGTTATAATTTATATTTAATTGTTTAACATTTAATGAATTCACATATTAAATCCACTGTCAGAAAAATTTATACAGGCTTGACTCAAAATTCCACAACTAATTTTTGTATGCCAACTTTATGCTAAGGCTTCAGGCTTGATACTGTGTAGAGACAGAAAAGTGTAACTAAGAGGAAATTAGTTGACAGAATGAACACAGTGAAATATTATAATTTTAGGTCTCACGTACTCAAAAAAAATCTATTTAGCAGCAATTATGAATGAAGAGCTCTTGTCAGATATTTTTTCCCACAGCTATTTCAGTGACTGTGTGGTTTGGTCCTTTATCCTGTTAATGTGGTGTTACTACATTGACTGACTTTTAGGCATTAAACCAACCCTGCATATCTGGGCTATGTTCCACACAGTCGTGCTGTACAACCCTTTTTGATATATTACTGAAGTCATTTTGCTAGAATTTTGCTGAAGATATTTGTATCTATGTTTTTTCTTGTGATATCTTTGGTTTTAGTATCAAGGCAATATTGCCTTTATAAAATGAGTTTGGAAGTGTTCTTTTCTATTTTTGAGAGAGTTTGTGAAGGGTCAGCATTAGTTCTTTCAGTGTCTGGTAGAATTGACCAGGAAAGTCACATGGGCCTGGGCTTTTGTTTGTAGGATGTTTTTGACAACAAATTCAATCCTTTTATGTGCAAGGGAGTTTTACTTTTAATGAAATTCACACTGCCACAGACTTCAAAATGTCATATTGAGTATTTTGTAAATGAATGTGTCCTTGTTATAGTGATCTGTTATCTGTTTGATTTGGCATCCTTCCTGAATCCAGAGAATGCCCTTCACATGGATTTCGATTGCTCAATGGCCTTGGGAAAAATCCTGATAGTGAGAATATCAACACAGTGTCATAGGACTGACATATAATCAGATTCAAGCACGTCCTTACTAGGAGTGGAGTCAACATTTCAATGCAGATAGTGCGATGTTAACACCAACCTGCCATCTTGCTGCTCTCACAGACACTGTACTCAAGGCAGTCTGTAAAGATTCACAAGAACAACAAGCCTAGCACCAATAGCAGAACCACAAATTCGCAGAGACCAGAACTACTGAGGTAGTCACCAGCTGGTGGTACCATACCAGTTTCACTGGACAGCCCCACAGTACAAGTACAGTGGGGAGAGAGGGACGGGCTCAGATCTTTGCTGTAATTATCTCTAACTGAACAATTTAGCACACTGTGTAAACTGTCTAAGATTCAGTTTCCTGTTCAGTAATAATATATACTTTATAATAAAACAATGAAGACTACAATTATGCATAAAAAGGGCATGGTCGTGTTAGTGTTATTATTCAAAAAGGATGATCACAGAGTTGGGAAAAAATACCACATTCCATGTCAAGTGGATTTTCTCAAGAAAATTTGGTATAAATCTAGATCCATGCCTGAGACAGAGTCTGTAAGGGAAGTACAGCTGTGAGCTAGGTGATATTTGTGGAGCATAGCATTTTACGATGTTTTTTAAAAAAATATAACTTTCTAAAACAATTATTCAGGTTATCAATTTGATGAAATTCTCCAGCAGAATTATGTATGGAAAACCTTTGATTGGAGGGACACAGTAGCAGAAAGGTATAGAAAACATTTCTTTGGTTATCATAGGTGAAAAACTGGTAATACCTTTCATTACCTTTTCATATTTCATTCGGTATACATATCAGCCCACCTGGTAATTTCCAAAAATCTAGCATTAATGATCTAAATTTTCCACTTGAAAGGTATGCACAAAGTATTTCTATTTTAAATTAACTTCTTAATATTTTAAAAGTTCTAAATCAACTCAGCAAATGGTAAAAATGCTCCTCAAATACCTTATCCATGTTAAGTAAAGGGAACATCTCTTGGATTTTTTCAGGTCCAATAATATACTGTTCTGTAGCATGCCAGCCGGTGCGTGTCATTTGGTATTTAAATTCATCTACCCGTATGGGAGTTGTAGCGATTCTGATGCTACCTGGCTGATGGAATCCCACCACCTGTGATGATGATTCCAAAGAAAGCACACAGGTCAATTATTATTTGGCACTTAGACATAGATCTCCAGGATACACACAAAATGCAAGTGTATAACAGTGATTTACTGTGCAGTGAAAGAATTAACTACATAAAATATTTGTGTCTTCTGAAAAGACATTCATCAGCAACTATTTACTCAGTGCCTCCTCTGTACCTAGCACTATTCTGAGCCCCAGAGATGTCGGGGGGTAAATGGGAAAGACAAAGAACCAACCTTGATGAACTTGACCAGCTACAGCTGAAGACAGGCAAGAGCAATGAATGGCAAAAACACAGGGTGAATTTAGCGTGCAAGCTCAAATGATGAAGAGATAAAGTAAACATGCAAGCACTCATTTGATGTTTACTGAAGTCCTTCAGTTCGCCACACCTCAGTAAGGCCCTGGGTTACAGAGTAAAATAAGCTGTCCTTGCCTTCAATTTATCACGATCTGTCGGGGAAACCAACCAGGAATGCCACAATTACAATAGAGAGAGATTTGCACTGTAATTGTGGTATGCACAAATGTTCTTAGGACCAAGAGCTGTACCATTTGGCTCAGGAAGGATGGCTCACACAGAGGAAGCAACAGATAAATACATAAATAAATATGCATAAAGCACAGATAAAAACTGGCTTGGCTTGCAAAGCCCAGCACGTTCCAGGTCTATTGGGCATAGCTGCAGTACCTGTCAGTGGAGAGAATGAGGGACTGCGGTGGAGAGGCGGACAGGGTCAGAGTGGAGATCCGGCTTCTGAAGACACACTGAGGCCTGGCCTTCGTCAAACCGGTGAGGGTGGGGGTGGATGGGAAGGGAGATGGGGCTTCCCTTTGGGCATTGGGCATAGCTGCAGTACCTGTCAGTGGAGAGAATGAGGGACTGCGGTGGAGAGGCGGACAGGGTCAGAGTGGAGATCCGGCTTCTGAAGACACACTGAGGCCTGGCCTTCGTCAAACCGGTGAGGGTGGGGGTGGATGGGAAGGGAGATGGGGCTTCCCAGGAAGAAAGACAGCATGAGCACGAAAGCAGCCTTCAACCTTAGCCTCTGGAAACTCTCTGCTGCCCTTGTATTTTGAGGAGTACAAGGGAAAAAGAGAAGAGTAAGAGGGTTTTCCCCGAAGTTTCTAAAAGCTGTGTGACTGGCCCACACGCATCATTGTCAGACCTTGCTGTCCACTTGTGGGGAGGCTCTGATTTGTTTTTAATTTCTTGATTTAATCACTGGCTAAGATATTTTTTGAAGATATTTTTTATTCTTGCTTCATTTAAAAAACAAACCATTAATTACATGGATAATACACATCAAGACATTAAGTTAATTTTAAAATGAACAGTGAGGTTCTTATCTTAACCCTGTCCTCTTTCTCTGGGATGTTTGTGGTGTCACTGTGTATGGTGCTACATGACAATACCTCAGATCCTTCAGGATCCTTGCTCGGTTCTGAGGGACTGAGCTCCCAGACAAGTTCAAGAACAATGCATTTACCTGTCCAGTTTCTTCTTCCAGTTTCTCATAAAGTTTGATGCTATCATAGTGTATTTTCTTCAAGTTTATTCCAGGATGAAAATAAGTTGTTAGACCTGCCTGCAAAGTGGGGAGGAAGAGAAATTCTGAAAAAAAATCAACATTCCCAAAATGTTGATCGTTCATCTGTAATGAGCAATAATGTAATGCTGACAAGACACAAATGCACCAACAAATCTTAGGGATGAGAACACATCAGCACCAATGTGGATGTCCCAGAGCATAAGGCTTGGGACATGTTACATGACACAATTTCAACCATATAAGTGAAGTCGGAAGCTGGGCATAGTGGTGCACACCTGTAATCCCAGCACGCAGGAAGGTGAGGTAGGAGGATTACCATGTGTTCAAGGCTAGCATGGGGTACACAGCAAGACTCTGTCTCAAAAAAAAAAGTGAAGCTGGAACTAGACATCTGGCATTTACATGATTCACTTATACAGCTATTCATTTATATTTCACATCATCTCATACACATGATCTGAAATTGTTTTATATAATACTTTGAATAATTCTGTGCATTAAAATTTGTGTACATTAAACCATCAGTAGGCAGGTGTGGAATTTTCCCCTTAGGGTATCCCATCAATGTTCAAAAAGATTCCAAGTATTTTGGATATTGAAGCTTTGGGCTAGGAATGGTCAAATTGTATTATGAAGCACAATTCATAATATTATAGCTAAAACATGTGGTATTTACACACAGTGGAGTACTACTTTGCCATAAAACATAAAATTGAATCATTTGTAAGAAAATGAATACACCTTGAGACCATAACATCAAGTAAAATAAATGAGGCACACAACTCAAATATCACAAGGTTTCTTTTATGTAAGAAACCCAAAATTTAAATAAAAAACAAAATAAAAGACAGATAATAGGAAAAGGAGATAGGTTTTTTTGTAAAAGGAAAGGGGACCAAGACATAGGTGGGAGAAGGGAAAAGGACTGGGAAAAGCATTAAAATGTGTTATGTACATTGCCCCAACTCCCCAAGAGTAATGTAATCATTCTACAAATATGTATTAAAAAATAAAAATGTTCTAAAAGGAAGTGTGGGGGAAGGCATCCAGTGGTGAATCCAAGCCAACAAACCATGGGTGAACATGTCCCTTAAACAGAGGGACCGCAGATGAGCAGAGGATTCTGGATCAAATTCTGTGAGTGAAGCAACCCTCCTGTCCTTTTCCTTGAATTGCAAAATTCAAGAATTAGAAAATCTCTGCTAATTAGAGTCTGGTGAATAGGTGGAGAGACTTTGGTTAACCTTGTCTGATGAGCACATAGATAGTACCCTATAAATATGTGTTGGGTAAATACTGATTACTCTCTGGAAAAGATATTCAAATATTAGTTATGCTGAAACTTCTTTTATCAACTCTGGCACATCCAGACAAAGAATTCCAGGCAACTATATAGAGCAAGTTCTCTTAATTAAGTATCTGGGACCTCATTTTACAACTAATTTTATTTTGGAAAGCTCATCAGAACACAATCTGTTCAAAATAAAATCTATGTGAGAATATTTATGAGTCTTCTATGGTAGTGGTGGGCATTTGATTTTCTGAAACTCTAAAACATTAAAGTGCCAATCATTTTTTCTGAACCAGAGCCCCAGGGATTCTATCTAGTTCTTGTTCAAGTATGTGCACAGAATCACAGGTATTTTGGACAAAAATCCTAAGCTAGCTTATGGTCATCTTATGGCACAGGGCCACGTAATGGTGGAGACAGGTTCTGTTATAGTGAAATGTGAGTCAGTCTCTTTGGCTTTGTGGTCAGTCATTACCTTCTCCTTCCACATGTTTGACATTCAATGTATATTTGAATTTTCCTGGTTCAATTATAAGGATTCCCTGGCTTTCCAGTGTCTGCTAATGGCCCCGATTTTGTCTTCAATGTGTCTCTTGTCAGTTGAGAAAATGAATATGCATGAACACAGGCTTGAGGTTCTGATCGCCTGGCTTCCCTGCAGGTCGCCTGGGTGGTATAACCCAGTGAAGCTAGGCCATCAGAAAGCACTGTTGTCCAACTATACTGTCTACAGTGTATCATCCTCTTCTTTCCCACCCTGAAATTAGGAGCTAATGGTTTTTCCTCTGAAAGTCACATGGGTTCATCTTTGTAAAGCTTTTTACTCCAGACATTTAGCCCAATGTACTTTGTTGAGGGAACAAACTCCTTTAAAAATTCATGGCGAATGAGACGTTTCTCCCCCCGCCCCCCTCTCTTTAACATAGTATGGCTCTTTCTACTGGACAAGCCATGCCGCTCTTTCCTTGGCTGCTAGGACTGTGAGAAGTGAGATATGGTTACAATTTCTCAGGCTGTTCCCTCTCTTTTATATGCTGGGTTTGTGGTGTAATCCATGTTTACAATTTTTGGAGTGACTCATACCGATGCCCTCACTGTATTTAAATTATTAGAATATTCTTGCACAGAATCTATTGTTCATTGTGACACAACTAAATCCCAGACCACAGTGAGGGGCATGAAAACTAAGAACTAAGAGAAGATGCTAGGAGCTGCAGATGTCTACTAGGAAGGGGGTTTGGCTCTCGTTTGAAGAAAGAAAATGATCGTGATTAGTGGAGAAGATAAAGGGAGAAAGATGTGACAGACAGGTACTCACTGAGAATTGCAACCTTTTGAATAAGTTAAGATTGTATTAATCCTTATTGAAATAAATACATAAATATGGGCAAGAATGACAATCAACCATATGAAAGGACCAATGAAGTTAGAACTGGCAGTGAATGCTAAGTAGTGAGAAATAATGAATGCCAACAAGTGGTGCTCTCCCTAAATCTTTAATAACCCCTCCCTTCTTTCTGAAGCCCCAGCTGCCTCAGAAAGTCCAGTGACTGACCACTACCTGCCTCACATCCAGGGGCTCCAAATCTTTCCTCCATATACTTATATACAATGAAAATTAGCATAATACTAAAATACATATAGCCTTTTATTTACACACGATATGGTATGTAAATATGGACTTCTGTTCATAAACATCATAGGGGCTGGGGATTTAGTTCAGTGGCACCATGCCTGCCTTGCAAGGTCCTGAGTACCTTCCCTGGTAAATAAATAAATATCATAAAACAACTTGGAATTAGTGAAGTATTTTAAATAAATTTCATTTTATTTATTGTCTGGAGAAGCTTTGGAATATTAGGCTTATTAATCACACTTAGCAAGAGCTGTGTGATTAATGTATTCATTATCAAACTGTGGTGCTCTGGCTCTAGGTTTGCTGGGTTTAATGGCTGTGGCAGTCGAAGCACCCTCTCCTAGGCACAGGGCCTCAGGAGGGAAACATACTTCCTTCCCAGGCAACACCTGTACAAGGCTTCTGTTGACATTCGACTGTTGCATGTTCTCTTGACCATCAGGTCTTATTACAAACTAATTGCAAGGGGCTGCATTTTGTGTATTTTAAATAAACAGAGACAAATCTCACTGTGACCTTATCACAGTCAGCTAAGTTAGATGGAAATTAACAGGCAGTCAAACAGGGATGGCCATTGAGAGAGTCTGTCGGAAGATGAGAGCACACCAGAACTGTGGCTGAAGGTGCAACTATTGAAGGCCAGCCCTCTAGATAAAGATGCAATGGAGTGGAGGGGGTGAAGGGAGGGCAGGAGTATGGGGAAAAATACATTATGTAAAGGTACAAGATCCCAGTGATGAATGTAACTGTGCTATATACCTAAAAAGTACCAATAAACTCAATGAAAAAGAAAGATGCAATGGCCAAGCTTACATGTCTACCCCACGGATAACAATAACTTGAGATGGCACTGAGATTGGCGTCACCCGGTCCAGGAAGTCCAGATAGACATCAATCAACTCAGGTGGGTGAGCAGAGCATCTGGACCCATTCCTTCCCCAAAATTCCTTTATTTGTTCCATATGCTCTTGCTACATGACCTGCTTCCCTAGTGGACCAATATTAGCTAAGCAGCTATACTTGTAATCCTGTAGGTTGCTTATAATTTGACCCATGTTGTACCCACATTGTGACTTTGCTGTGAAAATTATCCCTGATAAAAGGCCTCAGTGGCAGCTCACTTGGAACCCCTCCTGTCTCTCAGGAACTATTGCTCAATAAACCTTTCCTACTCTTAACCTCCTGTCTTTGAAAATTCATTCTTCAGTTTTGGGGGACACAAACTCAAAACGTCTGACATGTAGCAGGTTTGGAGTTATACCTCTTCTCTATCAACCCCCTCATTCCAAAAAAATCTTAAATGGGTTTAAAATGTGTATCTCTTGCATAAGAGTTTTTTCTAGACCATATATATTATTTTGGCCAGAAAATTTAATAATAATATCAGAGTTTCCAAACACGCATTTTCAGTGTGCTGTCTACCAACAGAACTGTTACAAAGGCAGTTATTTCTCACTTATTGAAATCACCACTTTTACCTTGAAAGAACAGACTCTCCCTATTTTGTGCATGTGTTTGTGTGTGTGCGCGTGTGTGTGTGTGTGTGTGTGTGTGTGTGAGTGTGTGTGTGTGTGCGTGCACCCATGCATGCTAGAGATCAAATCCAGGGCCTTGCATAGGCTAGGCAAGCATTCTCTCTCTAGAAACATTTAAATATATATATAATATTTAAAATATTGTATAAGTAATATGTGATATATTAATTATATATGATGACCTTTAAGTTTCACAACTCAACTGGCAGAAGGTAACCAGCAGGCCCCACTTTGTACAACATTCTCAGTCTCACCCCTCTCCCTTTCACTACAAAGTGTACTATTTGAAGCTAATGTTATCTTCTCACACCTGGCATCTTCAGTTCTCAGACCTCCAATAACAACCCTTGCAACTCCATCCCAGAGCCAGCCCACATTCCTGGATTGCTGCTCAGCCCCCACCCTCCATCCCACAGGAAGTGGCCTTTATGATCAGGAATGTCACATGTTTAAAAAGCAGTCCTGTTAAAATATAGCAACCTCAGGGCTGAATGGTTCATGACTTCATTTAATGAAATGAGCCTTCCTCCCAAGGCATTTGATTTCTACACTTTTCAGACAAGAGAAGTTTTGAACATGGAAAACATCCCACATTTCAGTGAGACTGCCTGCACTTTTGTAGTCTACCCCATCAGCTGATGCCCCAACCTTTGTTGTTCTCTTGTCTGCTCCCAAACTTTGTGCTGAAATACACAGAAGATGGGATTTCTTCATGCTGCTCCTCAGAGGGAGGCCTCCTTACTTATAAGAATCCCAGAATCAGCTTCGTTGGACACCTCTCTTTTCCTTTCCTTTATTCCAGGGGACCAAATGACCTGGTGTTTGATGCCCAAATTCACCTTGTGTTGCCTACTGCACAAGTGTTGTTTTGTACCCATAGGGTAATCATTGTCTACAAACCAGAGGGAAGCCTTTTCCCATTCACTTTGGTATCTCTTTGCTTAAGGGAAAGTTATGTGTTAAAAGTACTGTTAACTTTTTTTTTTTTTGTACTGGGGATTGTGCTTGCCAAGCAGGCGGCAGAAACACTGAGCTAAATCCCTGGCCCAGTACTGTTAACTTTTCACAAGAAATCTTAAAAATGTTGCCTACTATTCTTAAAAGAATTTATATTTAAGTGTATGTTGCTTTTTATTCATGGAGCATCTGAGAAACAAAATCCCAGGGAATCCTGTAATCTATTCCAAAACATGCAGGCCGCATCAAATTAGTTTGCAAATGAGCAGAGAAGCCATTCAAAACTCAAGTGTATGTGAGTCCTTACAGTCTAGAGGTGGGTAGGGGGGAGAGCCCTCCCTCTCGGATTCTCGATGTGCCTTGATTTCCCTCTGCCTGAGTATGTATTCCTCCCTGGATAGCCCCACTGCTCCACCATCTTGCCCCACTCATGCTTCGCATCTCTGCTTGATGTCCCCTCTTGCAGGTAACAACCCCTCTTCTGCTCCCCATCATTCTGTGCTCCTCACCTGTATCCCCGTTCTTGGTGCTCTGGCTTGGTTGTGTGCTTCCTATCTTACCCCACAATGTGAGCTCCAGGAGGCAGGACTGGGCTTCGTTCCTGGCCATGTCCTCACCTCCTAGAACAGGTTGGCCTGACATGGCACGTGCTCCTCACAGGTCTTTGTTGTGTGGGTAACTGAAGCGCACTGAGGAAGAGGGACAGGAGGACGTAGGAGAAAGGCTGGGCTGCTTGACACGATAACATGAAGCCTGCAGATGGAATCTAGATGGGGTCAGGAAAAAGGCTAGGCGTGCTAGCAGCTTCTCAGTGGAGAAAGACAAGCACTCTGGAGGCATGGGTGGCCAGGCACCCTCCAGACTAAGGAATGAGGACCAGTTGAGAGAGGAGCCAGGTTTGATGTGAATTCCTTGAGTCTCTGACCATCTGACATCAGGAATATGGGACCTGGGGGTCCCTCAGACTCAGCCTGAAGCTAGCCCTTGCTGAGTCAGTCCCGCACCCCACACTTGGGGCAGGTGCTGGATATCGAAACCTCCCTGGTAGCAGGTCCACGCTAGCTTGCTGTTCTCAACAGAGGACAGCCAGTCCTGGAAAGGGTAACAAGCAAGGCTGATACGGCCCAGCTCTTCCTCCAAAAGCAAACTGCGCCAGTAATCCAATCTCCTCTTCCATTCTTAGCAGACTTCAGAGACAACTGGACAGCAAACAAGAGCAAGGTCAAGCCTGGGTCTTTAACTGAGCAGCTTCCAGTTTGCCTCATGGTGGATGGCACTAGAAAAATCCTATAGATCATGAGGTGTGCAAAATCGACATAGTCTGGGATGTTACTTAACACAGAAGCTGCAGCACACATGCCCAGTCCTGGCATTTAAGTCTTCACAAGGCCAGGCTGATGTATTGTGATGCAAAATTAAGTAAGTAAATGAGATAAAAGGACCACAAATCCCGGTGAGAGGAGGACAGATCAAGACCTAGGGCCTATATTCAGGATCACCCAGCCAGCATCCTTTGCTACAGGGGCCAGCAGTTACTAACTTTAGTAACGTTATATATGTTGGCTCCATCTTCCTCACAACCCTATCCAATGGATAGTTCTAATATTCTCATCTTATAGCCCAGGTGCCCATCAACAAATGAATGGGTTTTTTAAAATGTGGTTTATATACACACACAGATGATTCAGCCATAAAAAACCAATGTTGGGTGATTTTTCAGGAAAGTCAGTGGAACTGGAGGTGGTAATATTACATGAAATAAGCCAGACTCAGAAGTCAAAGTTCATGTTTCCTCTCCTATGAGGGATCTAGGGAGGAAAAAGCAAAAGCTATGAAAGTGGAAGGGAGACTATTAGAGAGAAAGGGGACAGGAGGAGGAAAGAGGGTGAGCAGGCTGACGGGAAGAAAAGATCAAGGTGTGTTACATGCATGTTTGAGTGTGCCACAGTGAAGCCAACTGGTCTGTGTAACTAATATGCACTAATTAGCAATATCCCTGCTTACAAATCAGAAAATGGAAACCAAAGTTGCTGGAAGTCACGTGGAAAGAAAATGGCCGTCCGGAAGCCTTGTGTTCAAGACAAAAATATCAAATAGGTACGGTACTGAGCGCTCCCCAGAAGTGCCCCTGTGAACTGCAGCTGCTAGTGGGGACTGCTCTGAAGAGCCCACAGCAAGGAGCTGTGACTAAGAAGGCACGGACTGCACTAGGGCATAGTTCAGACACAGGAAAGTGAGTGATTGCCTTACCGCATGCCAGGTAGACCCAGCCGTGAGCTCCGACTTCTCCAGCAGGACCACATCTCTCATGCCCGCTTTGGCCAAGTGATAAGCCAGACTCACACCGATACAGCCACCTCCAATTATCACCGTTTCTGCTCTGTCATTCCATTTTGTTTCTGAAGATAAAGGTGGGTTTTCTTCTCTGAAAAACAATATTTTTAGGAAATACAACTTTACTTGGCTATTATGGCAGCTAGAATTTTGGTCTGATTGATGTTTCTAGGTCTTAACACTTAGTGACCGCAATCTGCATGGCGCTCTTTAATCATTCAGGCATCCAAATTCAGACTAGGCAGCCTGGTTGGGAAGGAGAGGCAATATCCGAGCACCATTCCACGTCGTGACCCTGGTGCACTGTAGGTACTAAAATAGTTCAAGACATTCTCGGGTAGCTTCTTTGTTTGCAAAGAATCTAGAGAATAATTTTTCTCATTTAAAAACATGAATACATTTAATAATTCTTACGTTGAAACTCAACCCTCTATTAACCATACATGAGTCTTCATTCAAACACAGTTCTAGTAAAGATGGTGCTGTTGAGGGTAGGAGGATTTATTAATTACTGCACCAGTCAAACATCCCTGTCACTCCTTCTTTCTTCCCTCTTCCTGTCCACTCACCCAGTACTTCCCAAGCTTCCGCCACAAACAGGGCACCAAACCATGAGGCAGTGATGAGCCAAAACAGACACCACCACTACTCTCTGAAATTTACAACACAGCTGGGGAGAGGGGAGCAAATAAGCACCTGTGGAAATTCCAATGATGAAAGTGGCTGTGCAGGACGGATGCAGGGTCCCAAGAGTTGGGTGAGCAGGAGACCGCTAATTTGAGTGTTGAAATGAGGACAGGTTAAGCAGACAACATGAGGAAGAAAGATTATTCTGGGCTAGGGGACAGCTATGTGGCAGGCCAGGGACTAGAGAGCCACCGAGGCCAGAGTGTGGAGGTGGGGTCCCTCTAGAGGGGCTCCAAGGTGCCCCTTGGCTTGTCTTTTGGTCTATGGGTTCATTGCTGTGTGTTGAGCACCTTAAACATTTGGTGATCAGTAAGTACAACAGAGTACATTCATGAATATGTTTTACTTTATTTTTTTTTTTTTTTGTCCTCCAAGAATTGTGCTTGCAAGGTAGGTGCAGAGCCACTGAGCTAAATCCCCAGCGAAAATGTTTTTTGTTATCCAGTGCTTACCAATTTGTTACCCAATTATTTTCTTCTCTCTTAATTACTAACCCCTTTCTTACATTAATTTCTAATTAAGAGATTCACAATATGAATTATTAAGATTCTGGGAAGATTTCCCATACTATATTTTGGTGACACAGTCTGAAAATTGCAGTTTGTAGGATAAGTTACTTTTTTGCTTTGTTTTGTTTTGTTGAGGATTGAATTTAGGGCGTTACACTTGCTCTGCAACTAATCTACATTACCAATTCCTTTTAAATTTTTTATTTTGAGGCAGGGTCTCCTTAAGTGGTACAGGCTGGCCTCAAATGTGAGATTTTCCTGTCACAGCCTCTTGAGTAGCTGGGATTAGAGTTTACCTAGACTAGAGATTTTTACTTATTTTTTATTGATTTAACTGGTTTGTGGAATGACTTTTTATTTCAAACTTACAAAAAATTTGCAAAAATTGTAGAAAGAATTCTCAGAATGCTAGGAAGGGAAATGTTTCCTGTGATGTACTCTCAATTACTTCAATATATGTATAGTTTCAATTTTAGTATATGTGCTGCCAAAGCAAGCGCTTCAATATACATCTATCATATACATATATATAAATATAGCATATATATAAATATTTTAATGTATATTATATATGTGTACAATTTTCTGACTAAATTGCAGATATTTCTAAGTATTCCTGTACTTGTTTCCTACACTCATACACATATACAAACACCTTCTTTTACATAACTATATCACAGTAGTTTGTAAAAATTGGGCTATTTAACATTGATACTATATTATCTAACCTATAATCCATATTAAAACTTAGTATATTATCCCAATAATGTATTTATACTTCTTTTTCCAGTTGAGTATCAAATCCACAATCCTCTCTTTAGTCCTCTTAATTTAGGACCTCCTTTGTGTTTCGTGATTGACTTTTGGGGGAGTACTGGGGTCAAACTCAGGACACTGTGCTTGTGAGACAGGCGGCAGCACTACTAAGCTATATCCCCAGCCCATAACTATGACTTTTTTAAAGAATGATTGCAAGTTCTTCCAGAGAATGCACCTTCTTCTGAGTTTGGTGTTTCCTTGTGATGCGGTTTAGGTCATGCATCTTTGGCAAGAACGTCACTAAGCGACGTTAGGCCTCCCTGGTACATGTGATTAGGAGGCACATGATACTGGTGTGTCTCAGCCTTGCTGTAGTTTATGTCTGGTAACTTGCTTAAGGTGGTGGCTGTCAGGTTTATTTGGTAAAGTAACTATGTTCTGTTTCATGATCATGAGTAAGAATGTATGGTGTTACCTTGAAACCATGGAAGATGTCCTATCTCTTATCAGACACTAAGTGGTTTTAGCACCTATTGATCATGACTTACCTCCACCACTCCCACTGTATTTAGGGTTGTCATCTTACTGCACAGCACTACTTTCCTTCAGTCTGTTTTGTGTATCAGCATGAGTTTGTGGATATTTATGGTAGTCAGTGAGTTATAACCAATTACTGTCCAGCATTTATTTTAATGCCAAATTGTCCCAGAGTTGGTCAAAACAAAAATTCATCTAAGTTGATCCACCAGTGTTTTTGAAATGACCTCATGATTCATGAACACCTCTTTATTTTCTGGTGCTATAATATGTCCCACTAGCTTTTGTTTAGCCTATTTTAAAATTACTTTCACCATGTGTAAGAAAAAAATAATGCACACGGGCTACTTTGCATAGAAATCCATTTTTAAGGGGCCAGGGATGTAGCAGGTGCCAAACCTGCCTGGCAAGAACAAGGTCCTGAGTTTGATCCCTAGTACCACGCACACATACACACAAAAATCCATTTTCAAATGTCCCAAGGATATCTTGTACTTTATTTGAAACCATTACAGAAATGACAACAGTAATTTTAAAAGTGCTTTTTTGTGTGTTCAGAAGAAAAAGATATGATTTATTTTAGGACAGTAGCCAGGTAAAACAAAAAGAAAAAAGAATTTAAGTCCAGAAAATCTGGATTCAAGCACCCAGTTCAACTGAATAGTTGTTTTAGGGGAATTTAGAGATAGGGTCTCAACATTTCCTGTTCTGAAAAATGGGACTATCAGTTTGCAATATGTGGTAAAGCAATATCAAAGGTATAATATTTCTTCCATCAAGAACATATAATGGGTGCCAGACTAGGTAACTTTTAAAATTATGTGACTAGCTGTCTGAAATTCCTTCTGAAAGTAGTTGGGAATGGTTATAAATATACACAGAATCCAATAAAGCCATGCCAAAAAAACCACACACACACACACACACACACACACACACACACACAAAGCCACGTCACCTATCTCCTATATTAGAAATGGCATTTTTTGTTGTTAATGTCATATCTTTTTCTATTAGTGCAATTGGTTATACAGATTAATGAGTTTCATTTTAGCAGATTCATGCAAGAACTTAACTAACATACTTTGATCATTCTCACACTCCATCACTCTCCTTGCTCCAGCCTCCTCTCTAGTTTCATATTTTTGGGGTTTTAATGTGTATAATGTATTTTGATCAAATCCATCCTCCCTGTTACCTACCCTTGCACTCTCCTTTCCCTTATTCAGAAATGGGAACTTTTATATTGTTTTTGTGTTTGACCAAGTGCCTTCCAATATTTGAGATTGGGTCTATAAAGGACATGCAATAGAAATAAAATCATTTGAATTTTGACTTGTTGAACACAGAACTATACATTGCTAAATGAAAAGAGTAGTCCTGAATATAACCTCTAATCAGTTTTTGTTTGTTTGTTTGTTAGTTGGTTGGTACTGGGGATCAAACTCAGGACCTTGTACTTTCCAGGTAGGCATGGCACCAGCCAGTAAGTTACATCCCTGGCTCATACATCTAATCAGTTTTAAACAAATCAGCTCACATTGGTTAACTTTCTCTGTGCTTTTGTTGAAGATAAAGTATCATTATGATGATGATTATTATTATAGGTATTTTTGTGATGTTTTACAGTCCACAAAGCACTTTCACATGTATTCTCGTTAAAATTTGCTACAATCCTGTGAGTTAGGCAGAGCAAATCTTAGAATCCCCACTTTCTTAATGTGCAACTCAGAAGTATAAGGTCACATCCCATGTAACTGAGAGTGTAGGGTCCAGTCTCTTGTATTCCTAGCACAAAGGACTAGCCTAGAACAAAGAATGGATGGATGGATGGATGGATGGATGGATGGATGGATGGATGTCAAAAACAAGTCATTTGATTTCCAAAATTTTAGGTTTTAGATGTAGAATAAAAATTGAGAGCCTGTGGAGGTGGTGCACACTTGCAATCCCAGCACTGTGGGAGGCTGAAGTAGAGAATGGCAAGTTTAAGCCCAGTTTGAGCAATTTAGAGACTTCATGATGCTCTGTCTCACAATTTTTTAAAAAACTGAAAAAAAATTAAAGGAGGCTGAGGATGTAACTTATTGTGAAGGTCTTGGCTTCAATCCCTACCTAATAGGGCTAAGTAACTATGGAGTCAACTCCACTGGTGAACAAAAAAGTCCTACCTTAAGTAACGGTCCGTTAACACAAGGAAGCAAACCGATGCACAACACTGCTCTATTTAAATACAGACCTTTAAAACAAAGAAATGCTGTTTTCTCCTATCAGACTGAGCAAAGACAGTTGCTACTATAGGAAAGAACACAGGCAAAGGCACACGCAGGTGGGGAATGGTATCTTCCGGTGACTCTGTTACCTTTGGATCTTTCAAACCAATCTCATCTTTAGAAATTGTTTCTAATGGTAGCCTGCAATGTGTGCCCAAAGATACATGCATAAGAATTTCACATGCACTTTCCCTGCAGTCACTAACTGAAGGCTTAACGTTAAGGAGAGCTTAATCATACATAGTATTGACTGCAGCATAGAAAACTATGCAGCCTCTAAGAACAAGGCAGATCAACCAGGCTCTGATAATGGACCCTCTCCAAGACATCGGATCCCTAAAAGCATGGCGTGTGTAGCTGAAGACCTTGCGTCCCCTGTTTGCCTTGTTAGGCAGGCAGGACACAGAGGACACCAAGCCCAGGCGAGGGTACTGGGGCGAAAGCCGAAAGGCACCCGCCCACCTTGTGTGCTACACTCCACGCCTCTCCTCCAGGAGCAGCCCAGCCCGACCCGACTACCCGCGGCGCTGGCTGCATTCACTCACCCTGGCCAGGCGCCGGGGGAGCCCGGAGTCTGAGAGGGACGCTGAGACAGGGGGCGACCTGAGGACACGACCGGACCCCGGGACAGGGCAAGGCCCCTCAGCGGGCTAG